ACAAACATTCAGACCATGGCAGTGAGAAACTATGTAGATACCTGGAGAAAGAGCATCCACATAGAGGAACAGCAGGTTCAAAGGCTCCAAGGCAGGAGCAGAGCTGGAGTGTCTGCAGAACAGCAAAGAGGTCAGATACGATGGAATGGAGTGAGGAAGAAAGGGAGAGAGAGAACAGTGAGGAGATGAGGTCAGAGAAATCATGGAAAGACCAGATTATATATGGTTTTACAGGCTTTGCAGACTTTGGATTTTATTCTGAATAAGATGAGAAGACATTGGAGGGGTTGTGAGCAGAAGAAAGACTTGATCTAATATCTATTTTAATAAGGTCACCTAGGTTCAGTGTTGAGATTGAACTGTGGCTGGGGGTATGGGGTGGGGGAAGCAAAGTAGGGAGACTAGTTAGGAGTTTACAGCAATATCCGTGGTGGCTTGGAGCAGGATGGTGGTAGTGGAGGTGGTGAGAAGTGGTTAGATTCTGAATGTTTTGAAGGTAGGGTCAACAGCATATGCTGTTGCATTGAATGTGGGGTGTAAGAACATAAGGGTCAAGAATGGCTAACATATTTTTCTCTGAGCATCTGGAAGGATGGAGTTACCATTAACTGAGAAGAGGGAACTGTGGATGGAGCAGTTTGGGAATAGATGTCAGGAGGGACATCTTAAGTTTGAGATGCCCATTAGACATCCAACTGGTTAGTATATCCTTCCTCTGTAGGCCCTTGTAAATGTTAATAGGAAGCCAGATCACAAGCTGTTTTCTTAGGAATGAAGGACTAAAAGCAGGAGGTAAGAGTTGAAGGGTCACAGTGACTCATCTGTGATAGCCTGAGGCACGTACCTTCCTCTTCCAGAGGGGTGACCCAGAAACCACCCCTCTTGGACAGTGCAGGAGAAACGAGACCAAGTTGTCATTGGCCTCCTCTTTTCTAGACTCCTCTTAACCATCCCCTTTTGTGCACATTGTTCCTTCAGAATCGGTGGAGGAGGCTATAACTTTGTATCTTCATGAGGTTATACTCTCTTGAGGCTATACTTGGTCACCTCAGTTGAGCATGGTACTTCTTAGCAACTCACTTAAATCATTTTTCGAGCGTTACTTTGGGTTACTTATTTTGATGGCTGATTATTGAAGGAGTTGCTTCCCCCCACCCCTTTGCTTTACTTCTGGAGGGTAGCCTAAAGTCTCCTAGCAATAAATGTTAGTTGAATGAAATTTGGTGGAATACTTTGTGTGTCTGCTGTGTATCCAACTGTGGGGTGGTATTTGGAGACTATGCCATGTCTTATGGCTGAAATAACTGGGGATATTTCATTTTAGAAGTAAAGATAAATTGTAGCCCCGAACATCCATAAGGATTATCATGTAAAATAGAGAGTTGGCTTATTTTTGTGTTTTCCCCAAGGAGCAGAGGATTGCTTACAGGTGAAGTTTACCAGAAGGGAGAAGAAAGAACGTCTTAACAATTGATGCCATTCCACAGTGGAATGGGTTATTTCTTGATGTAGGAGGATTGTGGGAAACATTCAAAGAGACAGTAGGTAACTGTCCAGTATGTTGAAGTGAAGTGATTTCTATACAGG